TTCACTTTTGTTCGAAAAATATATGAAGAAACATCTGAATCACCATACATACATACATATAGTGAGAAGCAAAAGTGTCGACACATCAGTTAAAATGATATAATTTTTTTTAAACTGGTCTAAATAACTTGAATTCTTTTTTTGTAAATGTTAGAGCGTCTAGTTCACTGTACAATGACTAAATTTTTTTTTTAATTTTGCTATTACTTGAAATAGAAAAAATGTAAAAAAAACTCATCTTTTCACTTTTTCATTTGAGCCTACAATGAAAATTTAAAAAATGCATTCGGTACTTTTCTGTACATGCTGAGAATTTCAATGAAGGTTGGTTACTCAAAAAGAGCTTGTTACTCGAAAAGAACACACCTACAATTGCAACATTTTTTGTAAGAAAATTGTATGGCTACATAAAATAATACATTTGTTATGAAATAGGTTTATCAGTCTGCAAGTGGTTACGTACCTACTACTACGACGTCACAATATCAAGCACAGTCTGTAGCAACAAATACTGTATCGAACAGTAGTACAGGGTATCAAACAAGTGGTTATCAAGGATCATCTTCATTTCAATCGACACCACAGGCATACCAACCATCTGCTACAACGTTTACTTCTCCTATTACACAAACATCTGGGACTTATCAAAGTGCAGCACAATCTGTAAGTGACTAATTTTAATATGAACAGAGATTTTTACAGAGTTTACTTTATAAGGGATATATTCATTTGAAATTATTTTATGAATTCTTTTATGGATTTTATAGACTCTTCCAAACTAAAAATTTAAATATTTCAATTGCTTGTAAAACATTGATGAAAGAAAGAGTCTAGCCGGATAAGATAGTCAAATCTACTCTTAGGAGTTTTTTCAAGGAATATTACAAAACCCCTCTGTGCAAAATTTCAACCCTATAGCTTGACCATGAGTATAATTACAGGGTAAATTAGATCGCGCGCCTTTCTGTCCATTTTCCCCAATTAGGTGGTACCTTGAAATTTTGAAAACAAATGTGGACTATTTTCGATAATTGGCCGCATATTGGAGAATATTTAATAATAAATAAGTTTTTATTACTTTTCATAAAGATTTCGGACATAGCTGTTTTTTTTGGCCTCGGCTATTTTCATATCTTAGCATGTAAGTTTCCTTACAATTAGCAACTTAGAGTTTGGTGATGTGTCCCTTGTTAATTAAAGTTAATATCGACACTTTTCTGAGATTATTAAATTGCGTTTGCAGGTGTACGCGAGTGCATATGGTACGTATGCAAGTCAACCACAAACGGCGTCCCACAATCATAAGTTAAATAGTAATGCAACAAAAGATTCTCAGTATGATAGTAATACAACGACGTCGAACAGTTCTCTTGCGACTACAACAGCACCTACATTAGGCCTTAGCTCTGCCTCCGTAAATAGTTCGCAAACTAAAGTAACTAATTCTAACGGTGAGTCAAATTTCTGCCGGAGTAAGAATAAAAATATTTAAATAATCAATGGAAATAAGAATTTCTTAATGTGATTTTTAATTAGCGGTACCAAAAAGTACATCAAGTGGTGTAGTAACGGGTAGTAGTGGCACTGGAAATATGACTGGTGGTGGTGCAGCTGGCAGCATGACACCGATGTTAAGTCATCAATACATTATGGGCCAAGGTGTACCTTACGCGTTTCAGCAACCAGTGTACAGTTACGAGGAATTGCAACTAATGCAACCAAGAATACCGCACATGGTCAGTTATTATTTTATTGATCAATATATTTCTGCAACTGAGTCAAGTACAAATTATGTCTCCTATATCTCTTGATGTAATATGTACTTTATTCGATCAAAATCCTTCTATAGAGTAATGTACACTTTAGAAAGGGCATATTTATAAATTTCAAGTCGAGCATTACATAATTAACACGTTGACTACTGAGCCAAAATCCCGGAATATTTCACAAATTTTAACGAATTTGGTAACTAAGTAAGGACTGGAAAAGTTCAAATTTGTGTCTACACCAGTGTCTACTCTTTCAACTCTTTTATTTCTAAAATCAGCTACATCTTTTTGTGCAAGTGTATTTTATAATAGACATTAAAATTCATCCGGTTATGCTAATGATTCACAATAGATTTCTTAAAGGAAAATGGAGATGGTATAATTTTTATTTATGGTAAAAATCAACAATGAGAAGAAGTTTAGGGAAAACGTTTAGATTTTGCAAAAGAAACTTTTCTGAACTTAATTGCCCATCGTGCTGTACACATATTCAAAAATTGATACTTGTTTGATATTTGTTTTTTTTTATATCGATCAGATTGTACATAAATTATTTTCTTATTGTTATAACTCAAAAAGATATTCAGTATTAATATTGAGATCACATGGCAGTCAACTTGTTAACGTTTTCAACTGAACAAACAAAAATTATCAGTTGCATCTTGAAGGCAGAGATGATATTATATCGGGTGTACTATTCTATATCTGAAGCGTACTATTCTATTTTATGTTATGATTACCTAGTAAAAAGAATGCTGAAGTAATCGTTTCTTTACTGCTTGGTAGCTGCTCGTTACTTCAATATTTTTTTCAAGGAATTATGAATATCTATTCACATGCTCATCCTCATGATGGCACAAGAAGTTTACTGTATTGTTCCATAGTGAGATGTGTCGCATCGATTAATGATTGGAGAGGTTTTGATTTCTGATATACTATTTTGTAGAAAAGTGAAACTGTCTGTGATCAATTCGGAAACAGTATAATTGAAAGTTTTATTATTTTAAAGCTGAGCTTTAGCAACCGTTGATTGTCGAAATATTCGATAGAATATCTGACAGCGCCAGGTCTTTCTGACAATCAGAACATTTCGTATACAGTTGGCTATATTCGAATATTCCCTTTTATCTCATACTAGATAGTTAATAATAATAAGTTAGACCGTTTTGATCGTAGACGCGCTGTAGCTTACACATCTTTCTTCCTTTTCTTTTTATGATTTCAGTTGCTCCATACCTCATGTCATGTATTTGAAACTGTCTGAGAACATCAAATATTGTAATTTCCAAGTGGTTAAGTTGTACTTTGTTTCATATTCTTTTTTTAACCCTTTCATTCCACGCGATGACCTGTGGATAGGAGGAGTGCCAATTATAGATGGGGGGCACCAACTTCAGTACAGAGACGGGTCCTTCCATACAGCGTATAGAAAGGGTTAAAGAATGCGCGCTTGTTGTTTATATTATCACTATCATTAGTACAATCATTGCCGCTAGTAACAATTAGCTGTACTACAACCAGACATGAGAGATGAAAAGTTCACAAGTTTCTGCAAGACTTAGTTTAAATATATATCTTTTATTTTTCTTAATTTATAAAATTAAAATAAAAGAGACAGGTACAACTCGAACCGCATGTTATCTACCTTATACCCAGTACGCGTAGAATTTAGCTATTAGTTAGCCTTCTTGTATTTGGAGTACACAGTGTATGCATGTAGTTTTGTGTTTGGCCTTCCTGACTAACCTGCAGCCAACTACTGGTTACTATGACGCGGCTTTGGGCTATCAGACAACCGGCCCAGCTACCAGTCTCGGTGGAGGACGAGGAGATACGCTTTCCGGTGTACAAGGTGTCCAAGGGGTACAGGGTGTACAAGGAGGCTATACCAGTATTAGTGACGCCAGGTTCGCCAGGAGCGACAGCAATGCGTCACCAGTTCCATCCACTATGTCACAACAGGTGAGGTTCAAGCACTTGGTAGATTTGACAATCAGCTTAACAGCGTTGTTGCAAATACTTGGACTATTTATTTTTGTACCTTCGATCGAATGATGCATTCGTATTTATACTCCGTGACAAGTTGAAAAGTCACACTTGAATTTTTCGCATTTCTCAAAGCCATAATAAACATATAATGCGATACAATGTCATATAAAGATTTTTTATGCTGGCCTATGTGAAGTATCTCTTTCTCAACTATAGAAATACCTATGCTTAGTTTGTTACGAGAAAGTCTATATAGGGTGAAAGGTGGCTCCTCGAATGAACCCACCAGATGGAAAATGTCGATAAAACATTGTTTCTCTTATCTTCAAAAATTTCATAAAATTGATTATCGCTTATGCTTTCAAGATTGCTACTAAATTATTGATTTTGGTTCAACAAAGACAAGGAGAGTATATTATGTTTCGTTTATTTAATCTTATAGTATGTTCGGTTTAAATGTATACACATACAAAGTTTTAAATAGACTATATTTTTGAACAATACAATTATTTAAAAAGTAAAATAATATTATGCTAATATACGTACTTCTAACTTCATGCAGGTGTACCCGTGTATTTCACTACCCGTGTACCCGTGAATTATACACATGTACACGTGTATTTCATTACCGGTTTAATAAGAAGTGCACGAATTAATACATGGATATATTACTCTATGCCTGTGTCCACGTGTATCTTCAGTACCCATTTAAAACCGGGATCTCTAGTATGTATACAATTTTTAATATATTTTATACATTAAAATGTCCATTTTCGATACACAAGTAACGTCGTCACCGGTACTTAGGCTTTCAGTACCTATGTTAAAATTTTATTTTGTAATTTTTCTATAAATTTCATTTTTTTTTTCACTTTTTTAACATTTCACACGTTATTTCTACGAAATAGGAATAGGATATTCTATTTCCACAGGAAAAAGAATCTGCCTTATGCATCGCCTCCGATAAAAACTGCTGTTTCAGACAATATAAATGCAAGAAAGGTTGGCAATGTACCAACAAGATGGCCCACTCTTATATTGCACTACATATACATACAGGATGGATCACGGAACGTGATAAGCTTAATTTTTTCTGCTGCTAGTGGTTCGATTGAAAATTTTTGAGTTATTATATATTAGCTCAAAAAATGTCTAATTGAACCACTAGCAGCAGAATAAATTAAGCTGATCACGTTCCGTATTGCACCCTTCCTGTTGTAAAATGTTTATATTTTGTTAACGTAATTGTTCATAATTTTAGCAGCATGCATATTGCATTATCCTACTAAAATATGAATTCATTTTCATCTATCTCTTTTGCATGTGTCATTATTTTCTTTGTTTACGAGTTTGAGGTAATTTATGCTTTTCATTTATAAAGCTAATATTCATATATCCTTTGTACTCAATCGTTCTTCACGTAACGATACCGCCAATCTTCGCTAAAGTCATGGAAATAAAACGACCATGAAAATTTAATTTTCTTCTTCCATCTTTCCCTTCATCTTGTAAATTATTTTCATTAAGTATTCTCATATATCTCAGATTATTGGTAACTAAAAAAGCATCTCATGAGACTCGAATAATCGTATCTTCTCTTCCCGCTAACTTAAATCATTAAATAAGTAGAAAACAAATAATAATCATTTTTCCTCATCATCGCTAAGAAAGAGATATTCTATATACACCTGTATATACATATATAAAAAATCTTGTCCACACCATTGGTTTTGAAAAACACGAAAAATCCAAACGATGCCTTATCATTTTGTCGAGGAGTGTAGATTCAAGTAATTCCTGTTTTCTTTTTGTTCGTATTATTTACAGACTGCTACGCAGCATCAGCAGCCAATGATGAATCCTGCACTTCCTCCGACATATGCATACTTTGCATATGGCAGTGGAATCATGCCAGGTGCTTTCCAGTACGGAACCCCCACTGCTATTTATCCTGTAAGTTAATTAAATAAGTAGTGGCCCACTCTCGTTTCAGTGATTAAAAAAAGAGATATTTTCTTTTCATTTACCGAAACAATTTATTACAGCAGATAGCTACCGCCGGCAATGCAGGCACAAATAGTGGTGCATACAGCGCTAAACCTGGGAGCTACGGTTCAGGATATGGAGCTGGTGCAAACTATGATGCTCTAGCGTCTGCTGGACCCTCTGCGGAGTATAAAGGTGCAGGAAATAGTTATACCAGTACGCAGACTGGTAAAACAGGGACATCCACTGGAAACACAAATACCGGTGGATCATCTGCAACTGACATAAGCGCGACTATGTACCCGAAAACTCATGTGACGCTTGGTAAAGTGAATGTAAGTATTTTTCTAGTAGTAATTATAATGAGAGTACAGAGTAATTTCTCCCTAATTCGCGCTCAGATTGCGCACAAAAATGGAGAATTTAGGAAGGGGAGATACGATTATTCGAGCCTTTACGTCTCGTTGTTATAGTTGTTAACAATTGGCAACTAGTAATGGCACAACTGGATGTGCAAGTATAAATTTGAATATTTAGAACTTGTGATAAAGACTGACTATTATTTTTTTACGTAATATGAATGGAATATGTCTTTTTCTAAGTCATTTTTCGAAATTGTCAAGGTTACCGATTTTTTTTTTGCATACAACATGTGTCGTCGGTCGACTCATTTTCTCCCACAATTAATAAGTTTCGTTGATACTAATAACACTGTCCAACAAATTTTAATTTGTTTTTCATTTCGATAGGTAATAGACAACTATGAACCGACTTCCCCACATACAACACGTTTTCGTACAATATTCTAAACATTTAAATTTATTCAAACAATATTTAAAGCATGTGGGACAACCTCAACTTATATCTAAGTAATAATATCTAAGGTCACAAGGAGTTAAATGTTATAATGTTTTGATAATATATATACAACAAATTCTTGAATTCAAATGTTTGCCCTGCATTCCAAGTTTTTAGACTCGCGTCCAATGCATGAAAGATTTACAAAAATCGCTTCTTGTTTACCGAAATACAAAAGACAAGCGTTGGACAATGTAATAAGCTTTTGCAAAATTTGAAAAACGGAAATAAATTTATGATCTGTGAAGTATTTTAAGCGAAACGGATAATTCTAATGATGCTTCAGAAAAGATAATCGTATTCTTTTGTTATTTCAGTCTTATGACAAACAAACTTTTCACTCGGCAACTCCTCCGCCGTTTAGCCTAACTGGCAGTCAGAACGCTGGTTTGCCCGGTGCATACGGAACGCATTTGTTTATTCCGACTTTGCCGCATCAATTGCATCAGCCACTTCATCAGGATGGTGGTAGTAGCACGGGCCAAAGGTCAAATACAAGTTCCCAAAATAAAGCTCAGGCAAAGCCAGGATATAGTCCTAGTTACTGGGCTGGAAGCAATTAAATAATTTTGGATTGCACAAAGAAAAGAAGAGGAAAGGAACCACCATTATATAGACAAAATACAACCTCACCATTGTGAAACACAGTGGTGTAAGAGATATGGACATTGACACAAATGACATGAAGAAACACGAGATAAGACGTTTTTTTTTGGTGAAACTAAATGATTCTGGTATGACACGAGTTACGGTAAAATATAAGATGAACCTTAAAAATGTGGAAGGATTAAGCAATTTTTATCGACTTTATGTTTAACACGATGAAACATTTCTTTCTACGTAAATTCATGCAACGATTGGTTGAAAATATAATAAAGAGATACGCTCTTTTTTTAATTAGTTTTATTCATCTCTTTATTCTTAAAGAATTCCACTTTATTATGTTGTATTATAAACAAAAAGTTTTCGCTATGTTATTTTACTTGTAATTCATCAGATACATTAGAGAAAGTTTTTAGTGTGCATAATGCAGTATATGTATATTGCGCTGTATAAATATAGTATATTTTTTCTGAAGGAAAAAAAAACAAACGAAAAATGTGTATGGAAGGGAAAATGAACTTTCGAAACAGTCGTACGGGGACAGAAAAATTGCATAGTTCTTCCAATTGTGAGGCGCACTCGTGCCAAATAAACTTGCATAGCGTTTGGTAACGCTGAATGCATGATCGTTACATATTTGTCAAGACAGGATGGAAGCAAACAGACTTTATGTGGTATGTTGAATCACTATAAAGGGAAAAAAAAAATCAAGATTTGTGAGTAGCATAACTCTCGTGTGAAATACTGGAAAGATGATCTAGAAAAGTAATTGACTGTTAAATCTACTCCCGATCTCCTATCTGTATACTACTGTGCAATTGCGAATATACTGCATCGACTGCAAAGGGTGATAGTTTTTTTGTATAATGTAGGCATCTCGGCTCACTAACATCTAAAGTGCTTCTTTACATGAAAAATGGAAGCATCTCGTTCGTGATGAAACGTAAAACTATACTATTGTAAATTACGATAATTGTATGTATTTAACCATGGAACTTCAGGTATATAAAGTTATAATCATCATAATGTTGTCACTTTTGGTATTTAAAAAATGAAAAAAACGAGTGTATAATTGCACTAGTTTCGCATTCTTGCGCGCACCCATATTATAAATGTATTTGTTTAGTCGCTTTTATACGTTTTCTCTCTTTTTTCTCTTATCTTTTTCTTAGTTACCAGAATTTATTGACGTTATATTTTATTAACGAAAAGAATAGCTATGAAACCAAAAAAGGGAAGATACCGTCATATCATGTTTTCAAAGAGTGTTGGATTCGACAAAAAAAAGAAAAAAACAAAACGAGAACGGTACTTATTTAATTGTATTTTTATGTTTACGAAAAGCGGCGTTGCAGGTGTTAATTAGTGCCACAGTTATTTAAAAAAAAGAAAAAGCAAGCAGATTTCAGTAATTTTTTTCTTGTGGTGCCTTCAATAAAATTCAGATGATAGAGTTCAAACGTCTGCTTTTGCAGAACTTCTCACCTAACACTTTTTACAATACTTTCATACTGTAAGTTATATTATCAAGAGACATTTACCTTAACCCCCTTACTCATACATTGATTCTTACTTATTGCTCTATATCATCGACATAATTTATCACTTAGAAAGTAATAGTTGTCGCTTTAGTTTATTAATTGACTTCGACAGTTTTCTTTTTTTGTTTTCATTTGCAACGAAACGATTGTTTCTTTCGAATTTATTATCTTGAAAGAAATTCAAATCGTTTTTTTTTTATCACTGATCCACAATGTACGATTGAATACGATATGTCTGGATAT